GTCTGAGGCCCCCGGGCATCGACCGACACCTGCCATCAGTGGCTATCGGTATCGTGAGGCTAAGCAGATGCGGTATTATGAACACTGTCCTTACTTTGAGTCCGAAGAATTCAAGCCCAACCCTCAGTTGTTTCCTAGGCTCAACCCTTACTACCGATACTACCCACCATATGACTTCTATAGGCAGTATTCTCCTTCACCGTCACCTTCCCCTGCCTCGGCATCAATTCTATGCCAACTGCTACCTGGATCCAGGGGATGACTTCCACCCTATTTTAGAGGCTCCTTCCTGCGGATTACCTACCACCCACAGAAGCGAAGAGGTATCGCCACCAGACATTGGGGGTAGAAGGAGCGTCTTGGTCGGAATTGGACCCGGGGTATCATGCATCACTGGACCAGCCGCTGCCTAGACATGACAGAGGAAGGAGAGCTGGCAGTCTCTTCGAGGCCGAAAGCTATCTTCCGATACCAGTGCAAGATGATTGGTCACTCTCCCCAGACCACTTTCCACTTTGCTTTGATGCTGATTCGGAGGCCTCCAATATCGAAAAGTTGCCACCTGATGTACCCATGTGGAGTCACCACCTCATGTTCAGATGTTGCGGAGAATCACCCTTCCCTCTGGACTACACCTCATATTCCCAGTTGACATTGAGGATTGTGAAGGTGATAGACTTGGTAGTCGGCCAGCCTGCGTTGCAGGAAGTAGGTAAAGTGTACGAGGAAATCATACAAGACCAAAGTACTCCACTTCGCCTCAGCTTTATTTCATCACTGTTAAAGCTCGTTAGGGAGTTGTGGGTCAAGCCTTCTTCAGTTTACCAGATCCCTGGGAGGGTAGAGAATCTTTATAAGACACACAGGAGAACACAGACTTTCTTTTTAAACGTCCTTTGCCTAACTCCTTTGTTGTCAATGCCATGCAGAGCAGGGATAGAAATCGCTGCGCAACAATGCCAAATAACAAGGAGGGTAGAAAGCTAAACATCATTGGCCATTGAGTGACCTCCATCCAAGCTATTAGAGGTCACTGTTCCAGCTAACCTGGTGGGGATGCCTTTCAGACCTCCGGGTGGGAAGGATGTTTGGCCCTCTGGCCCTAGCAGTACAATTGGCCACGGATGCCAGTCCAACTGGCTGGGGCACGCACTGTGGAAATAGGATGATACATGGCCTATGGTCTCCAAGCGAGGCTCAGCTTCATATCAATCTCCTCGAGCTCCTCACAATTACCAAGGTTTTTGAGCAGCTAATTGCAGGCCAGATGGTTCAGGTGGCTTCAGACAACATGACCGCCGTCTTCTATGTCAACAAACAGGGAGGCGCTCGTTCCCTTCCCCCTCTCTGTCTGGCCATTCAGCTGTGGGGATGGTGTTCTGTGTACTGCTCTCGGGCAGGGATTGGCCATCATTCCTGGTGAGATGCCTTCATGACCAGCTGGTCCACAGGCCTGCTGTATATGTTTCCACTGATCCCGCTCATTCAGAAAGCAGTCATCAAGGAATGCCAAAACAATGCAGACACCATCCTCATCACCCCTTGTTGGCTTCGCTAACCATGATTTTCCACCCTGCACCAGAAGGCGGTAGAGTATCTCTGACTTCTGGCAATTCCTCACTTACTGACCTTGCACTACAGCAGGACATTTCATCCGGATCTGGACTCCCTTCATCTAACGGCCTGGAGGCTATCCCCACTATAGCCCATGTCTTACGCCATGCACAGAAACGCTCTACCATGCTGTTGTACTCCTACGATTGTTTCCATTTGTATGTTTGTACAAATGTACAAATTGTTTGCATCTTCACACCATTTACCTGTACAGCCGACCTCTCTTGATGTAGTCCTCCAGTTCCTCCTCCATCTTTTCCTGCATGGCCTTTCTCATTCAACACAGAAAGTTTATATGGCAGCAATAGCAACTCATCAGCTGCACTCTTTGTTTCACCATCCCACTCTCAAACAGTCCTTACGTTGTTTGAAGAACATGCGTCTGGCTTACAAACCTCCTACCTCACAGTGGTCCCTTCAGCTCGTCCTTATTCACCTTGTGAGACCTCATTTTGAACCCCTGGCTATGGCATCTGAATGGCTGCTCACTCTGAAGACTGCCTTCCTCCTTGCCATTACCCCTGTATGTTGGGCAGGAGAGCTGGCTGCTCTTAGAGTGGACCCTCCTTTCCTTCAGTGCCACCTGGGCAAGGTGACACTCTATCTGGACCTTTCCTTTGTGCCTAAGGTGGCTACCTATTTTCATTTAATCCAGCCTATTGTACTACCTGGGGAAGACCATCAGTCGTAAGATCGAATCCACGCAATGCTTGTCCCAGCTCCTGCCAACCTAGCAGTTCGAAAGCATGTAAAAATTCAAGTAGATATATAGGTACCGCCTCGGTGGGAAGGTAATGGCATTCCATGTCTAGTCGCGCTGGCCATGTGACCACAGAAACTGTCTATGGACAAACGCTGGCTCTATGGCTTGGAAATGGAGATGAGCATCACCCCCTAAAGTCAGACATGACTGGACTAAATGTCTTATAATTTTTCAGGACGCTCATAATATAAACCCATTTTTCAGGACGTTCGTAATATAAACCCTACCCCAAGAATAAGCCCCAGTTAAGTGAAAGCCTGTCCTCCACCATTGGGCAGCAACCAGAAGATGACATGACTGTATTTGAATACATCTAGGTTGTTGTACATTAAAAAAAAAAAGCCTGCCCTGAAAATAAGTCCTAATGCGTTTTTGGAGCAAAAATTAATATAAGACCCTGTCTTATTTTCAGGGAAACAGGGTACTACATCTCTCACTCCTCATCCTCATCATCACTTCAGATAGGCTGTTTGTCAGCTATCAAGGTCATTCCAGGGGAGCACCAGTCACATCCCAGATGATCTCATGATCTCTAGGTGGATTGTTTCGACTATTCATTCGACTGGTGTATGAGCTGGGCCAGACGCCTCTGCCACACACTGTAAAGGCCAATTCGACCAGGGTTGTGGCTTCCTCCATGGCATTCCTCAAAAGGGTAGGCCTCTCTGACATCTGCAAGGCAACCACATCTACCTTTGCATCCCATTATCGACTGGACCTCCAGGCCAAGGCTGAAGCCGCTGTGGGTCGTGCCATTCTGGCCTCTGTGCTCTCGTGACGTCCCTCCTCTGGGTAAGTCAGCTTGCTAGTCACCCATTAGTGTGCATTCACAGAGACCACGGACAAGAAAAAGAGGTTACTTACCTGTAACTCTGGTTCTTCGAGTGGTCATCTGTGAATTCACACTTCCCGCCCATCCTCCCCTCTGTCCGTCATGTATGCCTTTTGTATGCTGGGCAGCAGTGGGCTGTTCTTTGGAACTGAGGCACTCAGTGCCAGGGGCAGGGGTTTAGCCAGCATGTGGGAGTTCCTGGCACCATGTGCTTTAGTGCTAGAATGTTCCGAGATTTCTCTGCACAGGCGCACTAAACCCATTAGTGTGAATTCACAGAAGACCACTCAAAGAACCAGAGTTACAGGTAAGTAACCTCTTTTATTGCAGGAGAAACTGCTCCCGATATCTGATACCATTCTGAGTTCTAGCATTCATGCCCGTCAGCCAGGTGCAAGGTAACCAGCTCAGTCCACTACCCTCCGCTTTGTCCCTTTTTGTTATTGAAGTCAGGTCAATCCAGAATAAGTCCTAAGTAATTATAGATGTGATTGAGGATGAAAGGGTTGATCTGATATGTATTACAGAGACCTTGGTGGGTGCTTAAGGAGGAGTAGCCCTCTCTCAGATTTGCACCCCAGGTTATTCCATCTATCATCAGGGCAGATTAGAGAGTTGGCAAGGTGGGGTTGCCATTTCATTTAAAAATTCCATCAAGGTTAATCATTCCATCAAGATTAAAAATTCCATCAAGGATTGCCACCTTGGCCTGCTCTTGGTTGGAGTACCTCCATGTATCTGTAGACCAGTGGGACATGTTGGGGCTAGTGCTGGTGTACTGCTCTCCCTGCAGCCCAGCACTATCCCTTCCAAAACTGTCTCTGCTGCATTGTTGTGAGCTTGTGCTCCTGGGGGAATTCAGCATACATGTGGAGGCATTGGTCTCTGGTCTGGCTCTCGATTTCATGGACACGATGACTTCCTGGTCTATCATACATTTGAACTGATATTTTTGGTTGGCCATGGCAAAGATCTGAGGGCAACCAATTTGATTTTGTTGCCCTTGTCATGGTTAGATCACTACCTACTGAAATTTGGCCTGGCGGTGGCAACTCCCTCCCCTCTCTGCTGGCTGCCTATTATTCTTGTAATTTTCTTATCTCTTTTTTAAGCTATTGTATTTTTAGGGATCATGTTATGTGCGATGCCTTATCTGTATTTTTATTGGTGATTCTATTATTATGTTGTTTTGAGCACATTCTCTTAGCTGCTCAGAGTAGTGATTCTGCTACTAGTTTGGTGGGATAAAAATTTAATTAATTAATTAATTAAACAAATACAGTGGTGCCTCGCTAGACAGTTACCCCACATGACAGTTTTTTCCCTAGACTAGGCTCCCAGTGTGCGTCAAGGATCTCTGTAGTAGCTGTTTATGAAAGAAAAAGCCTGCAGTTGAAGAGCAAACCAAACAATTAACATCACATTTTGATTGGTCTTAATTTGCATCCTGCTGTCTGCCAAAAATTCAGATTAAACACAAAACACTAATTTGTGTTTAGTTTGGAAGGAAGAATGTGGAATTGTCCCTCCCAGCAGAACAAGATTTTTGTGCATCTCTGGGGATTGAAAATATAATGTAGACTGATTTTTTTTTTGCAAATATCAGAAAAGGTTATCTAGAATTTAAATACGCTTTTTCTAAAGTTATTTGTAGGATTTCAGCCTTAGAAAGTAAAAGTCAGGTCTCATGTACATTTCTCAGCTTCTGAACTGATTATCTTCTGTATTCACATTTATCTGTTTCTTTTTATATGTTTGACCTTGTATTTTCACTTTCCACCTCCACCTTAGATGACTTTCCTGAATCTACAGGAGTGAAACGAATCATCCAGGCCTTAAACGCCAATGTCTGGTCAAATGTGGCAATGAAGAATGGTATGTTTTGCTTGCTTTTTAAAATCATTGCATTATTTTGCTACATGTACAGAGCAGTGCTCTGTGTGTTCTATTATGTTTAGTTGGATTTACTCCGCAGGAAATGTATCAGAGACTGTACCCTGAGTGCTGTAAATTTCTATTGTCTATTCATGAGGCACCCCATTTCTCTGCAAACCTTTGGAAACTGACCAGCAGCAGTCCCTTGTTGTCAAAGGCAAACATTCAATGCAGTCATCAAACATCTGCCACTGCTCTCTTGCCTTCAGTTGGAGTGTCCCACACTTTGTCATTGCCTCTCTCTCTGTGCATGTGTGTGTGCGCGTGCATGCATTCTGTGCTGTCAAGTCAGAACCAACTTGTAGCAACCCGAATAGGACTTTCAAGATAAGTAAGGTATTTTAAAGAGTGGTTTTACCTGTTTCACTCCCCCAGTGAGTTCCGTGGCCAAGTGGGGATTTAACTTTGTTCTCCAAAGTTCTAGTCCGTCATTCTTTCCAATACACTACACTCCATGCAATGGGAATCACTTTATATCTGTGGGCACAAAAATGGCACTCAAGGCTTAAGAGAAATTAAAGCTCATTCTAGCAGTGCACTGGCAGCCAAGCCATCAGCTCTGTGGATCATGATCAAATTTCCTGCTTTGCACCCAGTTGCAAAGCAGTGGCTTAGAGCACATCTTTTACAGTAGGCTCTGAAGTGATATAGATTGCAGGAGACATCTGCATGAATAGTTGGAATGGGATGGGTTCCTTAGCTGTGAGGAGGAGCAAAAGAGCCTGGAAGGGTCTCAACTAATACAACCAATTTAGCCACTTAATTTCTTTATGTAGAAGCAGTGCTGCCTCCTTTGATTTCCTTGCCCTGTAGTCCTTGTCTTCCTCCTTGATTTTACTGTTGCATTTCATCTCCTGCAAAAGGACTTCTAGATGTGTTTGGGAGCCGGCTGTGTAGAGGTCTAACAGCTTTCATAATGTTTCGCTTCTTAGTAGAATACATGATGCAGTAGAAGAAATTTGCAGTTTTGCATAACTGTAAATTCTGAGCTCACATATTTAGTTGTATTGAGAGAAAAAAGAAGCCAGTCTTGACTGACAGATTAATGTTTCTTTCAGCTTCCTGGACCTTATATTGTAGTTTCTATGGACGGAAAAGAGCAGATACGGATTAAATGGTTTTCAGTGCATTCCTATGGGAAATGCAGATTCAACATAAGAACTTTTCAACTTGAGAACCACCTTCCAATACGGATTAAGTTCTTAAGTAGAGACCCCACTGTATTTTGTCAGTGTTACATGCTATAGGTAAAGGGAAAGGTTCCCCTTGACATTTAGTCCCGTCGTGTCCAACTCTAGGGCGCAGTGCTCATCCCCATTTCCAAGCCGTAGAGCCAGCGTTTGTCCGTAGACAGTTTCTGTGGTCACATGGCCAGCGCGACTAGACACGGAACACCATTACCTTCCCACCGAGGTGGTACCTATTTATCTACTCGCATTTTTACATGCTTTCGAACTGCTAGGTTGGCAGGAGCTGGGACAAGCGACGGGGGCTCACTCCATCGCATGGATTCGATCTTACGACTGCTGGTCATAACCCGCAGTGCCACCATGTCCCTTGTTACATGCTATAGCACAGCCAAATGCTTTGATTTTCTTATCTGGTGAAGAGAAGCACTCAGCTTTGCAAGTCACACATTCAGTTGTTTTGCAAAGGAGGAGCAAAAACCCCTTCATCAAATAGCAGGATTCAGAAGGTTTTTGTGTTCTCTCAACCAATTTCACTGGGTCCAGGGTGGGCAACAGTTGTAGCTGTCAGCAACCCCCCTTCTCCAAGGAGATACCGGGGATGCCGGAGAATGGAGAGATTCCAAAGTTTAGTCAGTCCTTTAGGAGCTAAGATGAGCCCAAGACTCTCAGCT